GGGAGCCAGGAGTACGCTCACACCAATAAAAAACACATTTCCGTGGTCTCTCTTCATGGATATCTCCTCTGGCCCAAACCCTCTTGCTCTCCTGTCTTTTTTCCCCCTGGCTCACATCCTTACCGCCTTTACATGGCTTTATTCAGTCAGAGCTCCGTGTCTGGCTGGTCCTGCTCAGCCAGCAGTGAGCAGCCCATGCGTGCAGCCACCCTGTCCTGGGTGGGGAGATGTGGGGAGCCCTCTCTCCTTCCTGCTGCCCCCCTTGCCAAGCCGGCTGCACATCCCGGGGACACAGGTGAGCACCACCAGGGCACGATGCCAGAGCAATGTGCAGGGGCAGGAAGGTCCCAGCAGCAGCGAGAGGAGCTGGGGGAGTGGGACCCGCTCCAGGGAAGGGAGTTCAGCAGCGTTTGCTGAGGAGGGGGGAGAGAGGGAGCTGAGGGGCTTGGCTGCTCTGAGCAGAAACGTGCGTGAAGAAAAGGCTCGACCCACACCCTGAATTCCACAGCTCGACTCCAGGGACGGGGAGAGGGAGAGAGGACAGGACGGGACATTTCCAGCAGCCCTGCGACTTGTTCATAAAAGCCTCATCTCACCAGCCCTGCCTGCCTCCTCCCCCATCTCCTCCACAGCTCACGCTGGGTTTTATTAACGCAGTTCCCCTCAGGCTAGAGGGAAGCACATCCCAGGAGACATTCCAGCCTCAGATCAGTTCGGAGGGGATCACAGGGAGCCAAGGGCGGGGGGCGTTTCGCCAGGACGTTTCATTCCGGAGAGCTGGCAGGTTGGGAGCGCTGCGAGACGGCACCGGCAGCTCCTCCTCATGGGACACCGAGCAGTCCAACCCCTGCATCCCAGCCGCTTCTGCTCTGTCCAGGCTCTGGCTGCGGGCTCCTCCCCTGGGCTCAGGTGAGAACATCGCCCTCGGGCACAGCGGCTGGAGCCGGGGGCAGCGCCCGGCAGGGCTCAGCCCCAGCAGCGCTCGCCAGGGATGGGAGCTGGCTCCCCGGCGTCTGGCTCCCCAGGTGAATTGTGGTGTGCCCTGAGCCTACGCCAGGAAAATGCCAGCAGATGAAACTGCATCTCGGGCCAAGAGACACGAAGATGGATGTGTTTTCCTCGCCCGGCTTATCTCGCAGGCAGCGCTTCTGCCCGGCGCTGTTTGTGTGCGCTCGGCTCCTGGCACGGGGGCAGAGATGATGAGACAACAACACCGCGGCCGAGCTCCCCGAGCTGCTGCCCTGCCCTGCCCTGCCCTGCCCTGCCCTGCCCTGCTCTGCTCTCACCATGGCAGGGAGCCGCTCCCCGGGGCCAAACCCCAGCGCTCAGACCCGGCCTGGGTCCAGGGCTGGGTCCAGGGATGAGTTCAGGGCTGGGTCTCAGGGCTGGGTCTCAGGGCTGGGTCTCAGGGCTGGGTCTCAGGGCTGCTGCAGCTGCACTGGGGCTGCAGCAGGAGAAGGGAGAGGAGGAGCTGCAGGACCTGCAGCTGTTTGGATGCTCGGACACCGTGTGAGCTGCAGTGTGAGCTGCACCTGGGACAGGCTGTGGCTGCCTCAGTGCCCCCCCAGAGACCCCTTGTGAGACTGGAGCCCTGAGGAGTGCAGTGCACCTCTGTAGGGTGAGGGGCAGGACATTCCTGCCAGCATGTCCCTAGCTCAGAGGGCAGCAGTGGATGCCCAGCTGCCCTGCAGGCAGTCCTGGCCCTGCCAGGGGCTCTGCCCCACAGCTCTGCCCCACATGTGCCCCTGGTTTCATAAGGGCACCGCATCACGCAGATCCCAAACTCCTCTGACTTTGTGCTGCTGGGTTCAACCCAGAATTAAGGTCAAAGAAAGGGGAGTTTTAAGGGCAAAAGAAAATAGATGTAAAATAAGTAATAGGGAATCAAGCAAGCCTTTCTGGAAATTCATAGTGAGACTGAGCTAGTTAAGCTGAAGTCTGGAAAACTGGTTTTTTTCAAGGTTCACTGTTTGGACCCAGGACAGCCTGTACAATTCCAGCATTTCCATTTTAAAGATTTTAAAAACCCCAGAAGAGATTTGAAGCAAAGCACTTTACTGACCAACATACATTTTTATGTATTGCTTTATTTTGCATATTACTTTACCTTTCCACTTGTGAGTCCAGGCCCAAAGGCTGAGTTTCCACTCCACAACCATTTCTTGCCCACTGCCCATGCCTTGGGCTGCCAGCAGAGGAGAAATGAGTAATTAAAAGAGCACTCCTGATACACAATTGTGTTTACATGGGCAGTTCACTGCACATGACCCCCAGCCTTGTTTGCACCCACCACCACCTGTACGAACACCCACTTTGGCTGCCCAGGAGAAAAACAAGGTACCAGGGCCAAAGAACAGGGGAACCCCAAAAGCAAGAAGTGAGAACAGAGATTTGTCTGATGGGGACATGTCCTCATTTGTCACCTACTGAGCAGTGATGCTGGAGACATCAATTCATGAGGGTATCTCCTACAGAGAGAGGAGGAAAGACACCAGAGAAATCAAAGGGGTTTCTCTCTCCAGGGGATTTGGCTCCTGGACCCTCTTCCAGCTGCTCCGGGAAATGCCCAGGGGGCATAAAGCTCCAAGCCAGGTCCCCAGGCACACGGAATACAGCTGTGAAAGTCACACCAGGGAGGTGGCAGGAAACAAAGGACTTTGGACAGACAGGCTTAATCCATTTAAATCCATTTAAATTCTGTTTCTCTCTCACTTCCCTCCCCTTTCCCCTTTGCTCTCATCAGACAGCTCTTCCCCCACCTCATCTCAGTCCCAAGTGCCTTACAGCAGTTTCACATCCAAGTGGCTCATGGGCTGAGAGAGTTATTCCACCTCTTTGCTGCTCACAAAGCATCAAACCTGCTGTTCTCTTCCTCTTGCACAGCCTCTTTCCCCCTCACACCTGCTGGGCTGGAGAGAGAGGCTATCCCCAGCTGCTGGTTCCTGTGGAGACTCACCTTACCATGCTGCTTTGCCTCCCCAGGTGTTCACAAGGCCCTCCTTGTTGGGAAGCCTTAGAGAAGTGGGAGAAGAGCTAATGCTTGTGGTCAGAAGGACTTGAAAACTCATGTCAGCTCTGCCACTTGCTAGGGCTGGAAGGCCTGGAACACGTGCTGAGCAAGAGGAGCTCTGTGTGGGGATGTTAAATCAGCAACATCAGTGATCATCAGGACCTGTCAGCCATGAAAACTTCCCCTGAGCTCCTGCAGCCATCCCAAGAAGCCCAGGTTTGGCTCCAGCCTGGCAGGAGGTGCAGGAAAGCAAGCAGACAGTGAGATGTCAGACTGAGATGTTGGACTGAGAGATGTCAGACTGGGAGATGTCAGACTGGGAGATGTCAGACTGTCAGTGGTCTGGGGCTGGGGTGGGAGCCCTGTGCTCCTCTGGCAGCGGCCATCAGGCTGCAGACAGACAGACAGACAGAGAGCTCCCAGCTCAGGAACACAAGCAAAAAGGACTTCAGCAGGCTGCACACAGGGCCCTCTGCAGAAGGTGAGCACGGGAGCCCCCAGAACACCCAATGGGCCGTGTTCCTGCCGCCAAACATCGACTTGCTTGGCTGGGAAATATCTGTAATCCCAAACACACCATGCACTTTCTTTTGTGCTAAGTGCCTTGGCAGGAGCCAGCAGTTCTCACACATTTCCATCTCTGCAAGGACCAAGTTTCCCAGAACAGCCCCTTTAAAAGTCTCCCTTCATTAAGAAGAGCCAAAACTGCCTGTTGCTGCCTTACAGGCTGCTCCCATGCCTCTCCCCGCTTCCCCAGGGCTCCACAGCCTCGGCTGGAAAGCACTGAGCTCCCAGAGACACCAGCATTAAAAGAAAAGACACTAAAGAAAAGAGAGACAAAGGCAGGAAAGCTTTTTTCACTGGGACCCAGCTGTCTGGCTCAGAGAAAGGCAAGAAACGAGGGTCTGCTCTGCATTCCTGGGGCACAGCCAGAATAACAGCAGAAGGGTAAATTCCACAGCGCACAGCCCTTTCCCTACTCCCCTATCCCCCCTTACAAATAAGGCCTCGGGGATATGCTGAGCATGGTGCTCTGGTGCAGGGACATCTTGCTAACAGCCTGCAAGTTAAACACTGCAGCACCTTCCAAAGCCAAGACCAGGCTCTTTCTTCTCACATCTGCTCACCGTACCCAGCATTTACATCGTCAGTATGGTTCCCATAAAACTAAACGTGAACAACTGATCACAGACAAATAAAGCAGTAATAGAGTCTGGGATGTCAGGAAGCCTTGCCCACTCCCAGCACACCAGCCCAAGCAGCTGGAGATCAAAGTTTTCTTATTTGCAATACATTTCTTGAAACAATTTTCAGCTGAACTCGGTCTGCTGAGAGGATGCTGACACAATCCAGGGCTTCTCCCATAGAAACAGGAACCAAGACACCAGATCTGTGCATCGCTGCCCCCATCTCCAGGTGGCTGAGCAGACGGAGAAGGCTTTGGCATCTCCAAAATGGGGAGTTGCTCCCTTCTTTCCCCTCCCTCAGCATCCCTGCTAGGGAAAGCCTTCTTGTAAAGTGCGAGGTTTGAGTGAAAAAGTGAGCAAAGCAGGGCCCTGCACAGGCAAAGCAGGGGTGCAGAGACATTTAAACACAGCTGTGAGCTACTCTCCGTGGGACTGGAGTGGTCTCCACGGGCACTAAGAGGTTTTTAGCCCGTGGTACCCTTAGGCAGGAGAGGCGAGAGACACCTCTAAATGCTCCCGGTTTAAAGGCACCCCAAGGCAGACAGGAGCGGGCGCACGGAGGCCGGGGCCGGGCAGGCGTGGGAGGGGGGTCCCGCCCCGCTCCGCCCCCGGGGGCTGGCAGGGCGGAGCAGCCGGGACCCCCCTCCCGCGATGCCGCCGGGCCGTGTCCCCCCGGCCCGTGCAGCCGCGGCTCGGCGAGAACAAAAGGCAGGAGCGGGAGGAGGCGCGAGGAGGAGGGCAGGCGGACACGGTGGGGGGATAAAAGGCTCGGCGAGGACCCCCCCCCGCCCCTCCCGTGCCCCATGTCCGAGCCCGCTCCGCCGCCCGGCATGGCCCGCCCGCCGCTGCCCGCCGCTGCCGCCTTGCTGGCCGCAGCTCTGCTGCACTGCGCCCCCGCCGCGCCCGCCCGCCGCCACAAACCGGTGAGTCGGGAACTGCCGCTGCCTCCCTCCGTGTCCCCCGCCGCTCTCCGCTGCTGGCCCGAGGGCGGTGTCTCCCCGGCACATCCGAACGGGAGGAGCCGGCTTCCCCCCCGCTCCATCCATCCCCGAGCCGCGCTCGGGATGCCGGCACGGGACGGCTGCTCCTGCCCCGGCGGTGCTCCCGCTCCTCTTGGCTTGCAGGGAAGTTTTCACAGCCGTGTTCCCGAGGGAGAACGGGGACCGGGACAAGGAGAGTTTCGGAGAGGACACGGCATCCCCCGTGCTCTCCAGGCAGCAGAGCACCCGCTGCTGCCCAAACACACCGCCCGTCCCAGAAGCGATACGGGGAGACGAGACTAAAGGGAAGAGTCAAAGGCGCGGGCAGGAGGGGAGCAGCAGGGCTCTTTCTTCCTGCACATGCCTGCCCGACCCCAGCACCTGGGACCGAGCTGCGAGCAGCAGGGTCTGCGCCTGCCAGGGAAGAGCAGCGGCGTGCGAGGGATTTGAGGGACGGGAGAGGACAGAGAGCTCCTTGTGCTGGGAATGTGTGCGTGTGTAATTGGGTTATTATAGACGTGCGCTTCGCTGCTGTGCCATGAAATAATAACAGAGCAAATGCCCAGTAGCAGCCCAAGGGGATTAGTTCAGGTTCTGTCGATGGTTTTATTATCAGCTCTGTCATCTGAGTACTTTCTGGCTTGGCTGCTAAATCTGCTGTGGGCTGGGACTTGGCACAGAGCAGCCTTGGCCCCCAAAGTGCTCGCACTCCTCGAAACGAAATGTCACCGTGCTTGGCTCCGCTCTGCCTCTGAGGAAGGTGGGGCCAGGGGCTCGGTGCTGGCACCTTGCTCTCCAGGAATGACACTGCCCTGCTGGGTGAGTCCCCTCGGAGAGCAGCAAGTGGTGCCAGGGCAGAGCTGCACCCGCACCACTGGAGACTGCTGGTTCCTGCGGGACACGGGCTGGGCTGGCAGGTGCCTCAAGCTCTGCCCTGGGCCAGCTGGGAAGCTGCTGCTCCTGGAGGAACCTGCACAGCCTCTGGTCCTGGTCTGGCTGCCAGCAAGGACCTGTGTGGGATCCGGGGGGAAGGGAGAGCCGGGGTTTGGCAGCATCTGAGCCCAGCCCAGCCCAGCTGCCGTGGCCCCGTTCATCTCTCTCCTTTGGCCGGCGCTCACAGCCGCTGACCGACTGCAGGGGTTCCTGGAGATCAGCTCGGTTGGCCTGGAGTGGGAAGCACCAAACTGCTGAAGAGCACCGAGTTAATGCAGGGGTCCAGGGCTGCTCAGACTCCTGGTCCATCAAATCCAGCTCCAGAAGAATGTCCCCCAGCTGGCAGTCTGCCAACAGAGAGGGCATTTCTTCTTCATCCTAAGCTAAAGCTCTCCACTGAGTGCTAATCCTTCCCTCTTGGCTGGAGTAACTGCAGGTGATACTCCTGCAGGTATGTTGTGTTCAGGAACACCTTGTGCTCCTGTGTTTGATCAGCCCGAGTGGGGCTCGGGGTTTCAGATTCATGTGTTTGACTCGGTCTTTGCAGGGATGGTGGCTGCATTGGTTGGGTTGGGAATGGATAGATGACTTCCCATCCTTTCAAATAGCAGTTAATCCCAAATAGCTGCTCTTTTCAGTTCCTCATCTGGTGTCAAGGCTTCTGAAGGTTTTTCTGCTGCCTCTGAGGTGAAGCTGGTTTTACACGATGTTAGCTGGCAGCAGTGCACCCAGCCCCTCTGGCAGTCAGGGAACCGGCGAGTGCAGCACAACTGAGGTGGCCCTGCAGGGCTGGCAGAGGCCCAGCCACTGTGCCCTCTCCCCCAGAGAGCTGTGCCACCACTGTGTTCCCTGCTCTGACCACTCCGAGCCTGCTGCACAAAGGGATGTTCCCCTAATGTCTGACAGCAGCTAATTTCCTGTCTGGGCACTTTTTGCTGTCAGGTGACGAATGAGAAAGGAGCCAAGGGGCTGAGCCGGGAAAAGAGGTTCACAGTCCTACGAGACAGCCCACAGGAGTTCCTCGAGCTGTGCCAGGAGTGGGGTGGCCAAGGACAGCCCAGGTGCAGGAGTGTGCTGCACCCCGGCTGTTGGAGCTCCAATACAGCAGCAGCCAAGAGCGGAGGGAATCAAGGGCTAAGATTCATTTTAAAGCCAGGCTATAGGGCGGGTTGCAGAAGGACTTGTGTTCTTTGAGGCAAACCCTGTAGAGCTCCTTCACTTTTATACTAATGCCTAAAGAAAGAAAGAGAAAACTGAGATCAGAATAAAGGCTGTGTCTGGTGTCCACTGTAAAACTTGAGAACAAAAGATCTGCAGTCCTCGGGGCTGTGCACGCACAGGCTCCGAATTCCTGCCTTGCTTTCGGCTCCCCTGGGAAATCAAAGTCGGTGCATTTGCTGGGAAGGTCTCCCTCCGTTCAGGAGTGCTGGGCACCCTCCCAGCCACCAACATAACCCATCAGGGGTCCTGCACACAGTCCAGGTCCCCCTGAACACAGCAGTTCCCCTCTGGGAGCAGGGCGCTGCCTTCCCCTGCCTGCCTCGCTCCGGGCTCAGGCAGCTCCCGCAGGAAGGGTTTGATTTGCACTCTTTGGTTTGGCTATTTAAATCCTGCAGTCAGTGGTGGGGTAATTTTAGGCATGTTTATCTTCTGCTCTGGGAGAGACTCAAGACACATGTAAGTAGTTATTCTCCAGCGGGTTTGCTGTGTTTGTGCTCCCACAGGCAGCACACACCCACCCTGCAGTGGGGCAGGGCTTGGGGGTGCAGCTGGCAGAGCAGATCGGGCAGGGAGAGAGGACAGAAGCAGTTTGGGGAGTATCCCCCTCTCCAGGTTATGTTGTTGCACTTGCTTCCCCCTCACTTATCCTGCCCTGGCACTGTAACTCATGCCAGGGGCTCTGCAGAAGAAGGGATGCACTGTGTAGGGGTTGTTTGAAAAGAATTTTTGATGGAAAGTTGTCCCACAGGGATGCTGATCCTACTTTTTCCTACTGAGTAGCTCTCTCCTACTAACCCCAAATATATGGGCAGGTAAATGAAGGGTTTGTGGGTGTTCTTGCACTGGGGATGGCTGAGCCTAAAGTGAATGGAAGCACTGCTGAGTCTGCACATAGCTGGCCAGCAAAATGAAAAGCAGAGCACTTCAGGGGTTCATTGAGGGCCACAGACATGTTTTTAGATGTTCAGAGATCCTGGTGCAGATAGAGGAGTTCCAGCAAGGACAGGCAGGTGACCAGGCTTCCTCCTCTCGGTGGATTTGGGCAGGAGAGAGGCACTGGTAGCCAATGGCTCCCCTTAGCTTGGATGTAAGTGCACAATGAACAAAACATCTCAACCCCCTCCTACCCTGCCAGGAGTGTGCCACATCCCTGAGCAGTTTCTTCGTTTCAAGGGGAATTCTAGGTCATCAGATTAAGGGCTCTTGAAACCTTTTGCTATGTCAGCATCCTGGGGCTTGTTTGCTCTGCAAGTTCTCCTGTTTCTGGCAAACTGTTGCTTGGGTGACACCAGCAGCTTGGTTGTGCTGTTGTTGATGGAATAGTCTCACAAACTGTCACGTAATTAAAATGTCTGATAATAAAAATAGTCCTGCAGTGTTTATTCATTTGCTTTCTCTTGTTACACCAAAGCCTGGTTCTCCTCATTCTGTCTGTGGCCATAAACATTTGCAGTCCGTAATGTTTCATGTTCCACGTTGCTTAGGGAAAATAAACATTTTCCTTTTTTTGCTGCCAACAACAACTACCACCAAGTAATCCGGAAACAAAGTGTCAGGCCCCAGGAGGTGGTGCTGGATGGTGCCACGGGGTGAGGGAAGTGAGTGGAGAGGAAAATCCAACTGTGTGTGCAGGGCCAGGCGCTGCAGCAGCTCCTGTTTGGCCTCAGCCTTTGTGCCCTGTCTGCAGCAGGACCCAGCTGCAGCCCAGCGTGGAGGGGCCAGTCCTGGAGCAGAAATGTTTTGTGTGAGCAAAGGATTCATAGAGGGGTTGGGAGACTCTGCCTTGTCCTGGGGGAGGCAGGGTCAATAAATCTGGTGGTTTTGCCCAGGCATTGCTTCCACTAACAGTGCATGTCTAGCTCAGGGTTACCTGTTTCTGCCATGAAATTTCACCTGCAGCACCAGCACCTTCCAAGCCCAGCCTGCTCCTGGAACACAACCTGACTAGAATGAAGCTGGTTCCAGTTTTACCATTAACCATCAGCTGTAGCTGCACTTTCAGATCCAACCCCTGCAAGTCCATGCTGGGCAGAGAGGCAGGCTGGACAAAAATCTGTCTATGCAGCAGGAGAAGTGCTGATCTCAGATAGGAACATTGCTGTTCAGGGGGTGCAGAGCCACCCCACCGTGGGCAAAAATGGGGTGAGAGAACTGTCTTGAGTGAGAACTGCAAGAGAAAGCATCCCTGCTATCCTTCCCCACTGAAATAAAGGCAGGAGTGCTCTGAGGTGCAGGCTCATAGGTAGAAGGAGGATAATGCTGCCAGCCACAGAGACAGCAAACAGCAGGGCAAACACTCTGAGTAACAGAGAAAGCAGAAACAGAAGCAATGGAAAAGCAGGAGCAGAAGGGCCAGGGAAATGGAGACAGAGTCCATGAGCTCATTCCCCAACTTAAGAGGAAACAGCCCCAGTGACAGGGGCAGCATCCAAGACTGATGGGATTCAGGCTGTAACTTGTCCAGTCGCTCCTGTCTGACAGGGAGAGGGGTCTCCTTTCATGTCCATGCCACAGAAGCAGGCAGGAGCCCAGGTAATTAGGTACACAAGAGAGGACACAAGTGGAAGTTCAGGGCAGGCAGAGGAGAGCTGTGGGTTTGTCAGCACCAGGCACCAGCCCCACTTTGCTGGTTTAGATGTGGTGTTGCTGATACACCGCTGTGGCTGTGCTGCTGCTCCTCCCAGGAGCTCTGTGGGGCGAGTGCTGCCCAACACAGTGAGGTTAAAGATGCTCCTGGGGATGGCTGGAACACTTCCTGGGAAGCTTGGCTGGTGTTCATCTGGCTCCAGCAGAGCCAGAGGTGATGGCTGTTGTATCACAGCACTTGAAGGCTGATAAAGCTGTGAGGAACTGAGTGGGCAGCCTGTACCTCTGCTGTGGTTTCTGCTGTCCCATGGGATCTGTCCATTCCCTCCTGCTCCCCCTCAGCCTTTCAGTCACAAGGCTGCAGGAAGAAGCACTTTCTTTGTGAGGAGCTGTGACCAGCACAGCCCTGTGTGTACAGCTTTGCTCCTCTGCTGTCCTCACTGCCCTCAGCCCTTGGTTTCAGGCCTGGAATCCTCTTAGATAGCTTGTGCTATATTCACATTTACTGACGAGCCTCTATTGCAAAGCCCTGGGCTCTTCCTTGACTACAAGGCAGCTGTTCCCACACCCAGCAGCTGCCCCAGCTATGGGTTACACAGGGAGGGGCAGTGCAGGTGGCTGCACACACGCAGCCAGAGCCTCAGATCTGCTTTGCACTCTGATGGGACAAACCCTGTCCTGGGTTGCAGGGATTCCTTTGCTTTTGTGTTCAGGAATCCCTTCCCCTCTGCTGGCGGGATGGGACAAGTGGGGATGCCCTGATAGGTACCCAGCAGCCAGTGCCCTCCTCCCTCCCCTCCCAGCTCTGCAGCAGCGTCAGCAGCAGCAGCAGGGCCCTGGGTGAGCCCTGAGCAGGGCAGTGGGGTGTGGTACCACAGCTCAGGGAGCAAAGCAGGGTCTCCCCACGAGAGGCTGGGCTCAGCACCGCCTGGGAAAGATGCAACCTCAAGCAAGCGGATGCGATATCTAATCCCTGGGAAGTGCCTGCAGCAAGGTGTGTCCAGCCAAGGAGACCAAGATCTCCAGCCTGGGTGTCCCCTGAGACAATGTTTGGCAAGTGGTTTGTGCCTGTCACATTTCCCCTCACCGGCTGTGCCTGCAGTGGCATTTTCCAGCCCTTCCTGCCATGGTCCTGCAGTCGGTGCAGTGACGACAGGGAGAGAGCCGCTGTTTGTCTGGGGCACACGCAGGGCAGCAGGGCAGGTCCTGCCTCCTGCCACACCCAGAGCCACTCACAGGACCACAGGGCCCTTCCAGGACCGAGTCTGCAAAGGGCAGGAGGAGCAGGGAGGGTCCTGGTATTGCACAGACGAGTTTAGGAAGCTGGGATTTGTAAGAGAGGCCTTGGTCTAACCGAAGAGGGGAGGGAGAAGCTGCCTCTGGTGTGCCACTGAACATGGGATTCCTCGGGGCAAGAAGGAAACAGGCAGCTTCTCCTCTCTCTGCTCCTGGGCAGAGGAGAGTGGTAATCTCCAGTTTATGCCAGTGGCCCCAGCCTGTAAGGCAGCTGCCCTTCCCAGGAAGGGAATGTGCAGAGCATCGTCAAGACAGAAAAATAGGGGTAAAGGATAAAAAATGTGGGTCAGCCTCGGCCCACTCATCTACCTGAGCAATTCTTGAGGGTTTCCCAGTGCTCCTACTTCCTGCACTTCCTGGCCTTGGAAAACCAGATGCATTCATCACCCCAAGTCCTCAGCTGTCAGGACCTGGCAGTGGGTGCTCCCAAGTGCACCCAGGAGCAAGGGGCTGAGCACCCCTCCAGGCTGTGCTTGGTGACACAGCTGCCATCACGTGCCTGGGTGTCATCAGACTGAGAGCAAGATGTTGGCCAGAACATGAACTTTGTCAGCTTCTCCTGCCAGCTGCCCATCGCAGGCAGTAGCTGCCAGCCCAGCCAGGTTGCCAGGTGGCTCTCAGAGAGCTCCTCTTAGAGAAACAGGTATCTCCAGCCTGGCAGGGCTCCAGTGCTCGGCAGGAACAGCCCTGTGCAGGCTCCTCTGGGACAGTGCTCCTCCTCCCCCTAAAACTCTGAATGGATGCTCAGTGTGTGGCTGGTGGCTTGGACAGGTTTTGCTGTTCAGGATGTGAAAAAGGCTTTCCCTCTCACCATGTGTTGCCAGTGCAGTTCCTGTGGTGTGTGAAAGTGCACTGGGACACCAGGACTGCATCAATGCTTCTAAGGCAGGTGCCAGGCCACCAAGGATGTCTGTCTGTCTGTCTGTCTGTCTGTCTGGGGACAGCAGGCTAGAGCGGTGACAGACAGACAAAAAGCCTGAAGTGATGCATGGACACCCAAAGTGCACCTTGTGTGACCTCCCCGGTTCCCCTGTCCCTCTGTGCCTCGCCCAGAGGCCAGTGCAGGGCCGGAGCTCAGCGGTGGAATTAACGCCAGGGCCTTCACACTTCATTCCAGCCCGCATGAATGGGCCCATTGTGGGCAGCAGAGTGGTGGCAGCATGCGGATTACACGGCATCATGGCAGCTCTGGCACTGTGCCATCCTGACCTTTGTGTCCCTGGCCCGGCAGCCAGGAAAGCTGGCCTGGAAGAAGGCAGCTCTTTGCAGGAGAAGAAAGAGCCTGCCTAAAGCCCAGATCCTCCCTCTGGATCCCTGTAGGACAGAGCCTGTCCTGGTAGAGATCCACCACTGCAAACACCTTTACATTTGCTGCATAAAATCAGGCAAAAAAAAATAAAAAAAATAAATCTGTGTTTGGCCCTCTGCAGCCTAGTGATGTTGACTGAGCACCTCTCACCCCACACACCTCACAGCAGGCTGGAGATGACACCTGGGTTGTGTTTCATGGTGGCAATATAGTCCTGCTGTCACGTGGGAAAGCAGTGGAAGTCAGCTAATTAATTAATTAATAATTAATAACAATTAATTAATTAGCATTAATTAATGTTGTCAAGAGAAACCTTGATTTTCCAACTAATTGTGGGAGAGCCCAGGAGATCTTATCCCAAGCAGAATCACAGGTATAGTGAGACAAGGGGATATGGTGCAGTCCTTCCTCAGGCAGCGATGGGGGCTGCAGGGACAGTCCCTTCTGCTCTCTGCCCCAGGGGCTGGCTGTCACCCCCACATCCCTGTGTCCTACTCTGCAGGGACAGTCCCTGCTGCTCTCTGCCCCAGGGGCTGGCTGTCACCCCCACATCCCTGTGTCCTGCTCTGCAGGGACAGTCCCTGCTGCTCTCTGCCCCAGGGGCTGGCTGTCACCCCCACATCCCTGTGTCCTGCTCCGCCACGTCCCCTGGTGGGCTGACACCTGCCCACCGTGCCAGGACAGCAAGAGGACACCACGGAAGTGACAACAGGGAACACAACTGCGTGCTGGGGACTAAAGACTTCCTCCCATTAATGTCACCTCTACCGAGCCAGGAGGGAATAAAGGATGTAGGGCAAAGGGGGAGAATTTATTCCCTAGTGATTTGTTTTATACTTGAAGGGTCTGGTTCTCATCCACAGCCTGCAAAAGTATTTCCTGCCGGCCAGCTGCCAAGGAAACGTGGCCCAAAAATAGCCCAGTGCTTAGTGGGTGCCATGGCATGACACAGTGCCTCCCTCCCAGGTGTGAGGCAGCCTCAGAGCAGCAGGGCACGTTCGTGGGGGGCAGGTTGTGCCCCCCCAGGGGGCAGGGGGGAACAGCCGTGGGCAGAGCTGGAGCTCGCTGCTGCAGCACTGCTGGGGAAGCAGCCAGTGGTTTGTGGCTGTGCCACTCTGCAGCAGGAAGCGTGTTCACGGACACCGGAGTCGTGGTTTTGTTTTTGCCTTTCAGGACGTGTCTCGAAAGCATCACACCTGGAAGGAGCAGGCTCCGTGGCTGGCTGTGGGCACGGGTGTGCCTGCCAAGGGCTTCCCTGCGGCTGCCTGGAACCCCCCTCGCTGCGGCGTGCCCGACCTGCCCCTGCTGCCCGACGGCCAGAGCGGCCGCAACCGCCAGAAGCGCTTCGTCCTCTCCGGGGGACGCTGGGACAAGACCAATCTTACCTACAAGTAAGGGAGGCCTGGAACGGAGCTCAGGCTGCTTTGCTTTTCCCTCTGCGAACGCTCGGTGTGTGATGCTCCCCGGAGCTGTGACCCTGAGAGCCGCAGGGCAGTAGGAACCACGCTGGGCTTGTGCCCAGCACCTGCACCTCCCCTGAGGAGCACACTCCACACACACAGCTCCCTGCAGCCTGGGCAGCACGGTGTGCTCAGCCACTGCCCTGCCAGCCTGCGCTCACTGCCCTCACACGGGCTGGGCTGAGCCTCCACCGCTGCCTCTGCCCCTTCAGCCACCCCGCGGGGGGATCGCCTCACAGCTTATTTTCAAAAGATCTTTTTATTCAGCTGTTGTTGATGGTCCCATAAACAGCACTTCAGTGTAAAGTTTTGCCCAAATCAGCCCACACGTTCTCAGTGGTGAATCTACTCAATCGGTGGGAGGGCTGTGCTGCCTCCCCAGCTGCCCTCAGGGGTATGAGTGGAGAAGTGAGCGCAGTCATATGGACCTTGACAGCATGTAAATCATCTTTTGCTTAATCCAATACAGGAGACAGCTCCTCACACCATCAGGAGGCTGTAGACAACAGAAAGGCTTCTTCCTTTCATTTTTTTTCTGTCAATAGTGTTAAAGAAAGAAACACAGCAGAGATTTACATAGAGCCACACTGTTAGTGGAAAGGAAAGAAACCTCCCTCTGTGGCAGACCTTTCAGACTGCTCAACTGCTGAGTGAACCCAAGTTTCCAGGGGCAAAAAATGCAGAGATTGAGGAGAAGAAATCACATCACACTGCTCTCAGGAATCTTTGTGGTGGTGGCCTTCCAGGGGATAGACCTGGGGAGTGCTGTGGCACTTCAGAACAAGAGAATCTATCCAGGGAACTCAACTCTGGCACACCAGCCAGAGGATTTCAACACTGGTGGGATTTCTCTGCTGCACGTGTTGCTTGGTAGAGGGTGCTGGAGCAGGGCATGTACGGATGGGAGATGTTCTGGTGCTGAGGGTGGTGGCCCTAGTGATGCTGACTGTGGAACTGGTGTCAGCCCTGGCCATGGGAGAGCAGCTGACCCTCTCCTCCCCCGGTGTCTGTTGCCTTCCAGAATTATCAGGTTCCCATGGCAACTTGTAAAAGCTAAAGTGAGAAGGACCATTGAGGAAGCTTTGAAAGTCTGGAGTGATGTGACCCCACTGACCTTCACCGAGGTGCAGGAGGGACGGGCTGACATCGTCATCGATTTCACAAGGTGAGCAGGGCAGCACGGCCCAGCTGGAACCAGAGCAGAGAGCTGCCAGCACACAACTTGGGCACTTAAATGGAGGCTCATATTTCTCCTTTCAGACACTGGGATCATTTTAGTTCTGTCAGTCGTGGGCTGCTTGGTGTGAGTGCAGCTGTTCCATGCTGGCTGTGCACAGCACCATTACTGATCATTCATTCATTTTCCTGGTACGTTTACGTTTCTCTGCCCACAGGCTGTTTTCTTAAGCATTTGTTTTGACTTTCCATCTTCAGGTCCTCCATCCTGTCCCTTGACTGAACAATGTAACTGTCTGCCCAAAGACAAATATAGTTTCTTGGTGAAGTGAATCTTGGCTCCTGGCCTGAAATTCCCTTTTGGCAAAATACGCACTGGGGCAAAGGCTTCCCTGAGCTGCGTGTTTGCACAGAGCTAATGAGGGCAGTGGAGACTGTCCAAGCAGTGATGTGATTTGCATGCTGTGTGTTTGCCTCCCTCAGCTCTCTCAAGTGGCCACATCTCTCATGGGTTTCCTTCATTACTCATCAGCAGCTTGGCTTGAGTGAGGACCTGAGAGTTTGGCTGGCTTTGCTGCCAGCTGCCCCTCTGCAGCCCCCCACCACTATTATTGAGTAATATCAACTCAGTCTTGGTTCAGGCAGTCACCTCCTTAATTCTTTAGGCTCCATAGTCAGCTCTGGGCTGGAAGCTGAAGAAGGGAAGGGGAGAAACATCCCTGAGAAAACAAACAAACTCCTCTTGGGAGGGCTTGGTGTGACTGAGATCTGCTTCCTCAGTGCTTGGTGTGATCAAACTGCTTCCTGAGGGCTCTGATGCAGAATTTGGCTTGTGGCGACTGGAACAGTTCTGAGCAGTTGATCTGACCAGTGGGACGAACTTAGGATGGGAATGAGAGCTGCTGTCCCTTCTCAGTGGCTGCCACCTTTGGCTATGTGATGCTGGAGCTCCACAGCCCTTTGTCTGAGGTGCAATGTGTCTTCCCCCCAGGTACTGGCACGGAGACAACCTGCCTTTCGATGGGCCCGGAGGGATCCTGGCACACGCGTTCTTCCCCAAGACACACCGGGAAGGAGATGTTCACTTTGACTATGACGAGACCTGGACGATTGGGAACAACCTGGGTACGGAACTGTTACAAGGGGAGCTGTGGGTGCTCCAGGATGTTTGTCAGTGAACTTGGAAATGATTCCCTGGGGTGTGAACAGGGACCCTGTAAAACTGAGAGGCAACAACTATTTTTGTGGTGAGCATTGGCTTCTCCCACCACTTGGAAGCCTGCTGATAGCATTCAGGTCTTTTTATCTTTCAGCCACAGCAGAGCCGGTGTCCAGCAGCAGGATCCGGCTTCTCCATGGATTCCTCCTGTGTGGGGGAGCAAGAGATGGCTCTTCTGCCCAGCCATGTGCCCCTGCCACTTGGGAATGGCACCTGGCATTGGCAGGAGTCCTTAGAAATGAAACAAGGAAAGGATGAAGGAGAACTGAGGCTCAAGTTCCACGTGACACCGCTGTCTGCCAAAGAACGGTCTCAGTCCCAGTCCCTGCATGCATTGTTCACCATCAGCCCTCAAACAAGTCCATAAAGGGAAACCACCCAGGCTCCAGCTCTGTCCCCGTGGCCTGGGAACGCTCTGACCATAAACAACACCACATCCAGTCAAGACTCTTTTTAAAATTTTTGCTAATAATAGATCCAAGCTGGTAGCTCTTTGCTTGGGTACTCGGGGTCTGGTGTCACAGTATCTCATGAGATACTGCTATGCTGCCTGGGACCATCTGGAGCACTGCCCACAGCATCAGTTTCTGGAAGACTCACCAAAATTAACCCAGGTCAGCTCCTCCTCCTCCTTCCCAGTTTATCTACAAAGAAATAATCACAAACTCCAAGTCTCTCTGGGGATTCCCAAAAACATTGGCTGTGTCACTGGGCTCCCTCAAAGCCAGTGTCAGCTGTAGGCCAGTTTGACTGCATGGGGTATAGACTGCTGTGTCTCCAACCCTGCTCATGCTGACCCAAAACAAGAATCACAGAGCTCAGGACCCCTTTGCAGAAGTGTTCCTGCTCCCTGGGGAGGGCTGGACTCTGTCAGTTTTCGCCCTCTGTTGGAGTTGCCTGTGTTCTTGAAGAATTTCCTGCATTCTCCCATAAAACAGTGTTGGGGGCAAACCAGGAACTGAAAATGGACCCCAGTTCCCATCAGAATCCAGCTCTATTCCATGGTATTCCCCCTCCCCCCATATCATCCATAAATAACTTGTAAAAGTTCTTTGGAGCTAATTGCCATTTAATATGTTGAAAAGAGCTTTACGATATAAACATGGATAAATCCTTGACTCAGCTCTCAGTGAGACAGGGAAATCCTTAACCTCATTTTACTGATGGGAGAGCACAAGTGTGCCCTGGGGTCACTCCAGAGCTGTGCAGGCAGCAGGGCCCCATGGAGAGGACCATCCATGAGGGACACAGGGATGCTGCCCAGCACGGCTCCTCCAGCCCTGCTGTTGTGCACCTCCCCTGGAGAATCTGACAGCACAGCTCATCTGCCAACACTGGAAAGCAGCAAGTGAGAAGCCTGCCAAGCTAAACAGAAGTGTCTGAAAGTTTGTAATAAATCACTGGCATAGAAATCCCACTCTCTCAGCTGACCTAGATGTGTTGATTTAATCAGGTCAGTGCGGTGTAAATTCATTGCTTCCAGATAAAGCTGGCCAGTGGGGAAAGGCCGGGGTTCACCTTCCCCTCCACCCTTCCCAGGCCTTCCTCCCCACTCTATTCTCCCTGGTCCTGGTGCTGAAAAGTGACCTGCTCCCCTGGAAATCCTGCTTGGAGCATCAAGGCTGGCTGACTCACATCCCTGCTGTTCTCATCACTTGGGCTGCAGCTTGGAGGATTTCTGGCTGAAGGCAAGTGAATGAATATGCTGGGACTTGTCAACAAACAGCCTCCACTCATAGTAAAATTTACCACCTTTAAAAAGGGCCCATTGGAAGCTAAACAAAACCTGCCAAATAAATACAAGTTTGTGTACTGAAATCCCCTTTCCCCCCTCTCCTTTTGTAGATGCTCCAAGGTCACGTATGCCTAAAACATGGTCTCCCATAAATCTGTTTAAGACTGGTGAAGAAGTCTCAGGCCTTGACATTAGATAATATTTTATGGGTTTATTTCTGAATGACACCTTCTTGACACAGTCCCCAGACAAGCAATAAATGAGCTCCCTCTGCTGTCTGTGTGACAACAGCCTTTGGCAAGTGTTAGTCCCAGAGTTCTCTCACCGACACCAGTATCTTCCAGAGTGGATGTGATCTAACTGGGACTGGCTAAACTTCAGCCCTAGCCAACAACTGCTCCAAGGCTGGGTGGACAAACACCAACCTTGCCACCCCACCTCCTACACCTCTAGTCTAGACTTTCTTCTTTATGCAAATTTCTCCTTTCCAGAAGTGCATGGAAAATCCTTTTCTTGCTGGTAGCCCATGCAGTGGCAAGAGCCTCTGACAACAGAATTGCAAAATACCAACATGTCCAGGTTAACACCCAAGTGTATGAACTGACTCATGGTGCTTCTGAACCAGTGAACCCCTTTATTACACCTTCTGACTCCTTGAAAAAAAAACCTCAAAAACATATTTTGGAGCTACACAGGAGATACCAGGGAACAAAATAGTTGGAGGTAGATTTCTCTTTCCTCTTTTTGGACTCCTCCAACACACGTCAGTGTCTGGTAACTGGTAGGAACAGGCCCAGGAGGCCCAAGCATGTGAGTAGACAAAAGTATCTTCCTGCTTTCCCTTTGCAGGCACTGACCTCCTGCAAGTGGCTGCTCATGAGTTTGGCCATGTCCTGGGCCTGCAGCACACGGCTGTCTCCAAGTCCCTGATGTCTCCTTTCTACATCTTCCGCTACCCCCTCAGCCTGAGTGAGGATGACAAGCAAGGTATCCAGTACCTGTATGGGAAACCCTCACCGGACCCTGACCCAACCCCAACTCAGCCAGCAGAGCTGCCCCAGCCAGACCTCGAAACAAATGAGATCACCAACGTGGAGGTGAGTGAGTGGCTGGTCTGTGCCCTTCCCTGACACTCCCCAGGAGGCTGGCAGCAGCCTGAGTCAGTGTCTGCCTCCTCCACCAACGCTGCTGAGCCCAGGCCCAGACCTCACGGCTGGGAGGGGATCCCTGGGCAGCTGCCTGGACACAGGGCCTTGCCCTGGGCTGAGCCCAGCCTGGCTGGCAGCCCTGACCCGCTGTGCTTTGGCAGGCTGTGCAGCCCGACGCCTGCCGCGCAGCTTTCGATGCTGCAGCCACCATCCGAGGGGAGCTGTTCTTCTTCAGGTCCCGCTACGTGTGGCGGCTCCGGGCTGGAAAGCTGCAGGATGGCTACCCAGCTCTGGCCTCTCGCCACTGGCAGGGCATCCCCAGCTCTGTCGATGCCACCTTTGAGGACCCTCTGGGCAACATCTGGTTCTTCCAAGGTAAGAGCTGAACTGTGATCAGATGGCTCAGAAATGAATCTCAATTACTTAGGGGTAGTCAGGACCCGGCAGGTTCCTGAGAGAGTAAATCTCCTGGAAATCCTCAGCAATGCAGTAATTCTTATTTGTTTCCTTATCTATTTAAACTTTTCATCAGGTATTGAGGACAGAAGAGAGAACAAGGGGTCACTTTTGTTTTAAACACAGCCACAATATCCCATTCTTCTTCCCTGGAACACAAACATTTGTAATGAGCCTCTGCCCTGGCAGAGGAGAAGGAGGGAAACATTATCTCCATCTCCCCAGCTGTCTGTGCCAGAAGTGGCCAACAGCAGCTCCCCTGGTTGTGCCTGTGTCCACAGGGCCCTGCTCAGGGTGGGGACAGCATTTTCTCTGCTCCTCAGAGACCTGGATGTAGAACTTCCCTAGTAGTCCATGAGTTTATGAGCATACAGAAAGCCTGGGTGCAAGAGCCAGGCAACCTCCAGCACCCAGAAAGATTAACAACAAAACCAGCTTCTGGCCATCTCTGGGGTTCAAAGCCAGCAACAGACCCCAATTCAGCTCCACTGTTTTCTGTAATGCTCTTCCCAAGTGGAGGTTTAATAGGAGGGATGCAGAATAACATTGGGAACTCATTGTAGGTGTGCACACCCTGTCTGCACTCCATGAGACTGAGTACCAAAACCACACCACTGGCTCTGCAGGCCGAGCTCCTGCATAAACACATTTCTGAGCACCTGACCTGCACACAAGAACTTACAGTGCTCAAATTGGCAGGTTCCTACCGTGAGTTAAAATGAGATAAGGGGAAAGTATTACACGCCGTAGGCTAATTACAGAGATTTCCATTTTAATCTAATCTGGAACTATGCTTCCAGTCTCTGTTTCAAGTTGGCAAATTCTTCTTGGTTTCTGCAGATCGCTTTCCAGCCACTCTTTGTGTCTGTGCATGCCCACATGATTTCAAAGCGCTGAGGTCGCAGGGCAGAGGCTGCTTCCTCCAGCCAAGTCCTTTATACCTTCCACAAACAGAGAAAAATGCTGCTGAAATGGACCTTCCTGTCCCCTAACACCCACCAGGCTGGACTGAGGTGGGATGTCAATGCATTGACAGCATTTTGGACACACAACAGTGGCAGTGTCTATTACACTCCGTGGTGGTTTTGCCTCTCAGGCACAGCTTCCCGTGGGAGCTCTGCCAAGGCCCCAGCCCCAGTTGCACAGTTCACTGCCAAATTATCAGAGTCTCTGACCCCTTGTTTCCCTTTTCTGTCTCTTCAATAGATTCTCAATACTGGATTTATGATGGTGAGAGACGGGTATCTGGTCCCACCCCAGTCGTGGAGCTGGGCCTCCCTGCATCCCCTGTGCAGGCAGCTCTGGTGTGGGGGGCTGAGAAGAACAAGATCTACATCTTCAGTGGAGGCAACTACTGGCGCTTCAACCCCCACAGGCGCCAGGTGGACAACATCTACCCCCGGGCTATGGCCGACTGGCGCGGCGTCCCGCCGGAGATCGACGCTGCTTTTCAGGATGAGCTCGGTCAGTGCAGCTGGGGCATGGCCTGACAGCACTGCCCAGCTGCAAGGGCTGGGCACATTTAGACACGTGGTAGCAGCGGACATTTCCCAACCATAACACATCCCATACAGTGTAGAGGGGCAGTTCCCTCCAGTGGGTAGAGAATTGAGAAGTTTCATTCTCATTAATTGTAGCAACTGCTATGTAAGTGTATGATAGGGAAAAGTCAAATGTCTGACCAGGGAATGGTCACAGAGTCCTGCCCACCTCTAACTGCTTCTGCCAAAGGAAGTGATGAGAAGACAACAGAAACAGTGCCCACTCTTCAACCCAGGGAGCTGAACAAAGAACAGGCTGCTTTTGGTACTGACCAGTCCTCCCCATTGTGCCCCGTGCTGAAAACAGTACAGCAGTGCCACAGAAACACTGGGGACAGCCAGGGTGCTTGGGAGGACAGGTGTGTTGAGCGCCTCTTTCCTCCCTAAGGATGAAAGGAAACAACTCCCCACTGCTTCCAGAACCAAAATTCCAGGGCAGCTTGCCCAAAGTAACAGATGCTCTGAGCAGGTTTTCACAAGTTGCCTGTCCCTGTCCTAGACATTGTCTGCCCTCACAGGGCTGGGTCACTACAAGTGTACAGCATATTTAAACCCACCAGGAAAATAAAATAAATCCATCCTGTTTACTGTCCAAAAAGTAAAACTAGATTTTTTCACCGAAACTAAAACAGTGTGAAAGTGAATGGCACAAGCCTGGGTTCAAGTAAAATCTCCTGCCTCTTCCAGCTCTCTTTCAGTACTGCACATGTTGCAGAGTAGCAGCTGAACAAAATGCTGGGAAAGAGCTCTGAGCCACCTGAATGCTGTCTCTTCTAAACCTTCCTCTCTCACCCACAGGTTTTGCCTATTTCCTGAGAGGCCGAGATTATTGGAAGTTTGATCCAGTCCAGGTGAAAGTGCTGGAGGGCTACCCACGCCAGATCAGCCAGGACTTCTTCAGCTGTACACCCTCCTCCAACTCCTTCAGATGAGGGGGATGCCTGTGTCCTCCACGCTCCCCTATCATCTCCCTTTACCTCCACACAGAGGGTTCTCTCTGCCATTCCTGGCTTCCTTCCAGGCTCAGCATCTGACACAACAGGTGTCTGTCACAAGTGACGAAGTTTGCTCCTCTCCAGTTCCAGCAGCCCCAGCTTCAGTTGCCATCAATGTAAAAGCAGCTGCCACGTTCTTTTACAGGCAAGGGCGGCCACTCTCTTCTAGCGATAGCATCCCCAAAGCCATCAGGCCAGCCTGGAACGGGGTCGTGCTCTCATAATTAATCTGAACCCCATCCCGTAGACGTGATCCAACGGCATTTCCTATGTTTACACAACTCACTACGGCAGCCCTTTGCTGCTGCAGACACTGCCCAAGGAGGAATGATCCCCCAGCCCGGGGCTTTGAAGGACACCAGAGGAGAAGGACTGCGACGTGCGGCTGCTGTTAGCTGCTCGGGGCAGCCGTGCTGACTGCCAGGGCCCTGCCGCAGCCCTATCCCGGCTTCATGTTGTATCCCTAGTACACGTTAGCATTTTGTACCGATCTGTATACAGACAAGGGGTCCCCTCCATCCATCCATCCATCCGTCCCTCCCTGGTGCTGGGTGCCAGTGCTGGACACTGCCCCGCGCTCATCCCGCCGAGGTTCCCATCCCGGGACGCTCAGCTGCACTGATCGCTCTCGTACCGCCGTTCCCAGCCCGGGCTGGCACCGCTCCCGCCCGGCCTCACGCCTCCCCCCCGGGCTGCGAGCAGCCTCTTCCCTTTCCACCTTCCAGCCCGGCCCGGCTGTGCGGCCGGACACACGGCGCTGAGGATGCTGCCGGGCGCGGTGCCCTGTGTGTATTTATGTACCGCCCCGCCATAATAAAATCCGCCTTTTCTACATCTGCCGTCCCTCCTTCCTCCTTCGGCCCGCCCGCCGCATGCGCGCCGCGGGCCCGCACTAGGCCGCGCTTCCCGTTGTCGCCGCCGCCGCCGGGCCGCGCTCCCCTCCCCGGGCGCCGCCGCCCCCGCCCGCCGCCGCGATGATGATGATGGCGCTGAGCAAGACCTTCGGGCAGAAGCCCGTCAAGTTCCAGCTGGAGGAGGACGGCGAGTTCTACATGATCGGCTCCGAGGTGCGGCCCGGGCGGGGGCTGGGCCCGGGCCGGGCCCGGGCCGGGCCGGGGGATGCGGGGCCGGGCCGGGGAGTGCGGGAGGCTGCGCTCAGGGCGGGCAAGGGGCGGAGGAGATCCCTGGCGTGGGGGGAGCGGCTCCGGGGGTCCCCCGTGCCCCGGTGGGCGCTGCCCGAGGGCCTCGGCCGTGCTGGGGGGCCGGGGGGTGCAGTGGTCCCCTGAGGGCGGCCCCTCACGGCAGCTGGGGACCGGATCCTCGCCCGATCGCAGCCTGAGGCCCTGCTCCCGATCACCGACAATTTCTGTACCCGGTTGTGGAGCGGTTCGGATTATTTCACACGCTGCGAGGCAGCGAGCCCCACACCCGGGCCTTGGGGCTCAGGAACAGCACCACGATCAGCCAGTGCAGCTCCTTGTGCAGGGTCTGCTCAGCAAACACCGGCGGGCAGAGTTTTAGCACCCCGTGTCTGTGCTGACACTGGATTGTCCCGTGCTCAGAGGGTGCTGAGCCTCCCTGAGGAAGAGCCTTATTCAAGCAAGAAACACCAGCCCCCAGCTTGATGCAGAAAAGGGACAGTTGGCTAAATTTAATTGCCAGCTCTATAGGTTGAGTAGGGACTAAATGCCACTCCCTCTGTCATGTGAAATGCAGAGTTTGAAAGCAAACTGTAACTGCAGTCAGCAGAGCTGTGAGATTGCCATACCAGGTACATGGAGAAGGAAAAGGCTTGTCTTTTTTATCTACCATTAATTTCTGTCTGTTGGTGAGCACTGTAGAGTGAAAGATACAGCTAAAAACTGAGATCAAAAAAGAATCTTCTCAAACAAGTAATAAAAACCTTGTTGTGTAGCAGTCTGCCATTGTCCTGTCAGTCTAAAAACTTGATTTCAGAGTCTAGAAATAGTTGTGTTGTTCAGCAAGGCCTGCTGTAGCCTTCAGCACAGGTGAGGCTCTTGTGCCAGGAAGAACAGAGCTGCTTTACAGATGGCAAGTAAATCTGAAAGAGAACTATTGGCAGCAATCACATTTTTTATGTTCAAAGGGTTTAAAACAAAATATAAGTCTCTGGGCATTCACTGTAGTCAAATAATGCCTAGATGATGTGGAGGTTCAAAGTAAAAATAATGTATCAGAGGGCTGGGTATCTGGTTTAGTTTAATCCCAACTGAGCATTGCACATTGATGTGGAAACTGAAGTAAAGAAGGGGTAGGTTGTACAAAAACACATGCAAATGAATGGAGCGTTTTCCTATTAAATTTACTGTTTCCAGTGAATGGGAGTTCTTTTGGATCTAGTGAAATAAGATAGCACCAGTGAAATAAGTGCTGATAAAAATTTTGTTTTCTGTATTGCCAGATAAATCATGATGCTATTCGATGCCAAACACAGCACAAAAACGTGACAAAAACACCCTCTTAAGAGGTCCTTCTTATCATTAAAAAGAGCTGAATTTCTTCCAGCTTCTGCTAAAACTCTCCCAAATGGAATACCAGGCCACATCTCCACTTCTCTTCTTGCAGGTGGGAAATTACTTGCGCATGTTTCGGGGTTCCCTGTACAAGAGGTACCCCTCGCTCTGGAGGCGCCTGGCCACGGTGGAAGAAAGGAAGAAGATTGTGGCCTCTTCACATGGTGAGAAGATGAGTAAACATTCCCAGTAATGTTTATCGAAAATTTTGCCTTGGGAAACTGCTCCTGGTGATTCAGAAGCTTGTGCACCTTGAGGGCTGTGTGAATCACTTCAGATTGCCCCAGTGATGGAGCACCCTGCAACCGTGGCACTGGTGGCTCCTGGCTCAGCCTGGCAACAAATATCACCTGAGCAAAAACATTCTGAAATGGAAACATCCATCATGATATTCCTGGGGTTGGCTACATTCATCACAAAGCAAAAGCCACATCTCCAAATCAATACAATATTTCAGAAGAGATTTTTTTGTAGACTAAGAGGGGCGTCTTTCATCAAATAGGCAGGAGTTTTGCAAGGATGCCCCATTGAAGATGTGCATCTTTGCTTAGCTTTGCTTCTTGCAGGGACTGGATGTCTGTGCCTGCCAGAATTTGTGGTGTGTTGCTACTGAAGTGACTGCTACAGGGAGAATATTGGTGGTGTTTTTGTTGAGTGACTAATAGCAAGCGGTTAAATTCCTTAGCAATATGACTTCTTGTATGTTCTGTAGACTAAAGCATAATAAAAATTATGGTTTACTCTGGGCTTATGTCTCTTTCCTCCAAGTATCCTGCTGACCTCTTGCTTTCTTTTTTCCCCCAACAGAAAATCAGCGGTCTCACAGTCCCCGAAGATGTAAGTCTCATCTGCGTGTTATTCTTAGCTGTGCTAGAGGAAGAATGTCCACTGTGACCTTTGGTGCTATTACAATAACATTAATGTCTAATCCTCTTCTCTGATCTCTCCCTGTGGTCGCTCTAACTGTGCCTCCCGATCCTAACTCTTCTTTCTCAGACCCTTAGCAGGACTCTCCAATGCAGATGGTCTCTGGCATTCAGCAAGAGCTGTCCCGAGGTCTCTCCCCCTTTCCCAAGTCTTAACAGCTTTTCTATCGATTGTTGCATCTCTATTTCCGACCTTTAAATCCGCTGAGGGTCGATTGTTTTCTGGGCCCTGTAAATATCTACAAGAAGATGCAGCCCAAGGGACACTTGTATCTCTGTGTTAGTCCCTCCTGCAGTGACAGGGAGGCTTTGTCACTATGTAGCCTGTTCATGCTACAGTGCTGGGTAGCCCTTTTCCCTGTTAATTATTGGCATCTTTCCTGGCAATAGATCATGGCTATACAACATTAGCCACTAGTGTGACGCTGCTGAAGGCCTCTGAAGTGGAAGAGATCTTGGATGGAAATGATGAGAAGTACAAGGCAGTGTCTATCAGCACAGAACCTCCTACCTACCTCAGGTAACCAGCGTCGGTGCGGGCCGAGCTCAGAACGGAGCTGCTTGGAAGATGTCAGCTTGGGCAGCAAGCACCAGGAATTGCATAAGCCCAGGCCATTGTGCAGGGGTTGTTTGCCAGTCTGCATTAAGTATTTGCAGTGCTGGGTAAATGGGGATCTTCAGAGTGTCAGGATTGGCTTACTGCCCACATAAAACAGGAAGAAGAATCTGTTTGATGACACAACTTCTTTTGCAATTACTGCATTCCGTCTGTAACAGATGTTTTACAGAACGCTCTCTGCACATACTGCCTTTTGGAGACCTTGCATTTCTCAGCAATCCTTTTGTAAAGTATAGACAGAAAATCCAAATATGAATCTAGTATTTATAAAGGTGCACCTGGATCCATATCTGATGGATATTTGTGATCTGGCCTTCCGAGAGGCTGGTGTGGAACATGAGTTCCTGGTGGAACAGTAATGTTGATGGTCCCAGAATAAAACAGCAGGAACTCGTAATAGCACTTAAAGTTTAAAATTACAGCATTCCTTAAGTAGCAGCAGTGGTGCTGAGGGCCTGCAGGTTAACATCCAGTCTCCTTCAGAGAACAGAAAGCAAAGAGGAACAACCAGTGGGTGCCAACCCTGCCCAACAGCTCTCATCACCTGGATGCAGTGCCGTGCTCAACAACCATCAACAGGAACCGCATGGGCAGGGATAAGAAGAGAACATTCCCTCTGTGGTAAGACAGCTTCCTGCTTCTGGAAAGTGGGAATAGTTACCAAAATGTCATGCTGCAGGGTAGTACTGATGAGTTCATGTAATGCTGTGATTCATCCCCAGCTGACAAAGGACCTGCGGGTCATTAACTTGGAGGTTCTTTAAGTTAAAGTGTGTGTCTTGAGGCTCTACATTACAGTAGCCATCCATGGCTCAGAGCGAGGCCTTTTCTTTTGTCAGGAAAATGGTTCATTATTTTCCTGATGAGTTCCTTCTATTTCCTGCTGATTTGCTGAGCAGCTGTCATTTGAGAAGCCTGCAGACCCTCATTGTGAAGGACAGGCTGACATGTCTCACTGACATGTACCAGTAACTTTGATCTAGTTTATTTAGTGGAAGATGCTGCTGAACTTAGAGCAACCAAGATAAATCTAATCCTAGAAAACTTCCTTGTTTTATTTGTAGGAATGTGTTACGATAGATGTACTAAAAGGTGATAAAGTGGAATTAGTTGCCACAGCCCTGTAAGCTTGTATTGAGGAGTTTCTCTATAGACAGACTGGGGAGTTGGAGTGTGGGGATTGCTTCCAACAATGTTGTTTTCCCTCTGTGCATGCCAGGTGTGTCATGTGCTCGTTGCATATACTGTGTTGTTGCTCTCCACTTTAGCTTTGATGACCATGACCCAGCAGTGATCCATGAGAATGCATCCCAGCCAGAGGTTCTGGTTCCAATCAGGCTTGATATGGAAATTGATGGGCAGAAACTCCGCGATGCATTTACGTGGAATATGAATGGTATGTAGCAAGGAGAGTTTCATGAGGCTGGAGAGATAAAGTTGTGTCCATCACCAAATGTCCTCACCCCATACAGACAAAGCTTTAAAGCTGTCCCACTCTGGACTGTATTCAGTGCTTGCATCTCTTAGCAAATGCTCTGGGTTGCAGTCATTCCTGGACACGTGTAGTCTGAAGAGTTTAACTGGCAGATTTTCCTGAGCCAGTTCATCAGCTCAGTGGTCGGAGAGTA